CAGCAGTCGCCCTCCTGTATGGAGACTGAGCCAGACCTTGGCCACCATTATGACGCAGGGCTGCACACCCTGTGGCCCTTTCTACCTTGGCTTCTAGAATATCACTCATTCATCAAATATTTATTGTGCTTAGACTATGTGCTAGGCCTCTCAGATATAGCGGCGCATATGCCAGCCAGGTCACCACTTTCGTGGAAGTTTCATTCCATTCAGCACCATAAAGCACAAAAGAAGGAAGTACTTAGGTTTTGGCCTTCTATGTATCATTAAACAGTAAAAAAAAAACAAAGGAGTTGAACGAAAATGTCAAAAGGACAGTTTTACTGATATCACCCAACAACAATGGACTATCCTCATGCTTTATTATTGATATGACCAGTGACCGGTGATTTCAAGGTGATCTGGAATTGTTTTCAGGATGTATTTGTAAATGAGAACAGCAAGATGGAAAACAATTTTCTGTTTTAAATAAGAAGAAAAAGGGAGGAAGGGAGGGGTGGAGTGATGGGACTTGTGTATTGCATAGAGAATCTATTGGAGGACATAAGACAGTGCTTGCCTAGGGAGGGTGCCTGTGAGAAGCTCTTTTCCTTTTCTATATTTTCTGTTTTACACCACATGCACACACAGTCAAAATGAAATAATTTTAAAATAAAGTGAATGCTTTCACTGTAAAAATTAAGAAAATAAAAAAGTATTTAAATCACTCATAATTTAATTACATAGTATTAATATATGTGGCCACGTCATTGAGATTCTTTTTCATTTAATATGTGAACATTTCCCCAAGTTTTTAAAAAATATTCACAAATAGTTTACTGCCTGAATAGTATTTCACTTGCATTAATTAAATATGTACAGACGTCTCTGTTGTCCATTTAGGAGCACATTTTGGTGTCTTTAGTTTTTGACTAGTATAAATAATACTGTGATGAACATCTTTGTACATTGATCTTCATGCACAACTGGGGTTATTTTCTTAGAATAAGTTATTATAAGCTGATTTAGTAGACATACTGACTTCCAGGCTCAAGGATCAAGGGAAAATTGAGATTTCTTGATGCATCTTGTCAAGTTACTCCCCAGAGAAGTCCTGACAGCTGAGACTTTTATGAACGGTCTGAGAATGACCAACTCAGAGGATTCTTTATTTCCACATTGGCTTTTGACTTTAAAGAACAGAGTGAGGGAAGAATACAGATGTTGAAGAAAAACAAAACAATGTGCTTGCACTGCGGGCCAGAGAGCCCCCAGACACAACCCCCAGGCCCATCTTTGGAACCGCTGTTCCCTGAGGGAATGCAGTGGGGCAGCCAGAGCTTGTCAGCCTGGCTGGTGTTTTCCAGCATTGGGCTTTGACCTTGGCACGCTTCCCTCTCCAGCCAGGGTGGTCAGCTTCCTGCACCAATTAGGCAGGCAGAGGCGGTTAGCCAGGCAGAGGCAGGAGCCAGCGCCCAGGGTGTCTGTTCCTTTTAGCTGGAGCCTGTACATCCCACCGTGTCAGTTCCTAGCGGTAACAGGCACGAACATCAGCACAGCAGCCTGCAGTGAACAGAGCCTTTTGCAATAGCCCGGTTGAGTCATTTTGTCGTTCCCCACAGATAGGGAAAGAGGGATGGTGGGAAGGCAGACAGACAAATTCACATTTAATTTGAGGAGTATTATTGAACGTCAGTTTTGTGCTGGTCAAGAGTCCAAGGATGGAGCAGCCAGAGCATGTGACTTAGCTGCCAGGATTAGGCTTTTCAGTCTGGCGTGGTGAAAATCTAAATAAAAATCCTTATTCTCCGGGAGCCAACACTCTAGTTCAGCGGTTTTCAACCTGTGAATCGTGACCCCTTCTCAGGAATCACCTAAGACTTCCTGCATATCAGATATTTACATTACAACTCATAACAGTAGCAAAATTACAGTTATGAAGTAGCAACGAAAATAATTTTACGGTTGGGGGTGACCACAACATGGGGAACTGTATTAAAGGGTCGCGGCGTCAGGAAGGTTGAGAACCACCGCTCTAGTTGGAGGAAGGAGCACAGACTGCAGGGCGTGGGGAGATGGTGTGGTGCACAGGGCCTGCCCTTCCTGCAGGCAACAGGCATGTCGTGGGGGAGAGCTGGGCCTACGAGCTCCAGGGGCCCAGGTGAGATCTTCCTGAGCCGTGGTTGTGGTTGTACATTGACCTCACTGACCCCAGAGAGCTGTTGGGACAGTTAAGTGAGGTATGGACAACAGAATGACTTGGTAAATATTACCTTATTGTCAGAATTATCATGTTCACGCTCTGTTATTATTGCTATGCAGTAGGCCATTCCCCTGTTCTGAAGCTTTGGGCAGTTTACCCAGAGGGAGAGTGCAGGACTGAAACGTCTATGACCTGCAGAAGGAACCACCCCTGGGACTTCTGAGAGGTTTTTGTTGTTTCTTGCTGAGGAGGAGACAAAGCACAACTAGGGCAATCTCTCTCTCTCAAGGCAGCCAAGGCCAGGCTGGGCGCGCCCTCTGCTGGAGCTTGGGGGGATCACCTTAGACAGAATGCAGCCCCGCCTTTAACAGATGGGGTAACAGGCGCTATCTTGCCCAAGGTCCGGTGGCAGAACCAGGTTCACAACACAGGGTCCCTCTCTTTTTCCTACTAGTGGACACCTTGTCTCCCATGCCTACCGTATTTTCCAGCGTATAAGACGACCCCCTAATTTTACAGTTAAAACATAGGTTTAGGCCTATATTCGCTGTATAAGACTACCCCCCACTTCTGAGGCAACACCAGTTCTTTTTTTAATAGACCGCCTCTCTGACTGGCCAATCTGAGCAGGCTTTTTACTAGAACACAGTGTAGCTTCGGGTACAGAACATGTACACTGTGTTCTAGTAAAAAGCCTGCTCAGATTGGCCAGAGTCAGAGAGACCGTCTATTAAAAAAAGAACTGGTGTTGCCTCGGAAGTGGGGGTATACTTATACAGCGAATATAGGCCTAAACCTATGTTTTAACTGTAAAATTAGGGGGTCGTCTTATATGCCCGATCGTCTTATACGCCTGAAAATACGGTAATCTTTGAGTGCCCCCAATTTATTCTTCAGGTGTCTTTTCTGAACTAGATACTGTGATGTCATTCTAGCCAGCCCTCTTCTCTCCTCCTTCCTTTCTCCTCTCTCCCCTTCTCTCTCTCTCACACACACAATCCCCAAAGCACTTACCGAGCCCCACCCTGGGCACTTTGGGGCACTTCTGCCAATGTCACTTACCTTCTGAAAGCATTACACAATGACTTGAACGGATAAAAACTTCTACCTTTACAAAAATATTGTCTTAGAAAGGAAAGTTCTTTTTAGTCCCAAAAAATCACACTTGACAGTTGCTTTTGTGTGTGTGTGTTTCGGCTCCTATCTGCTATCTTTCACCACAGAAACTGGGTTTTATTTTAGGTGTTGTTTTGCAACCTACATTTTTGCAGTTAGCAAGGGTTCTGAGATAAACGGTTATGTCAGTACGGGTCCATCTGGTGCATTTCTTTTTATGAATACTTTATAACTCATGTAATGCCTGGCTTCCTGCTGGACTTACAGGTGACCCTCTATGGTTCGCCATTACTGACTACATGGGGCAAACATCCTCTCACTACAGACATTGGCATTTTTTTCATATAATGGCAATACTTGTTGGTAAGGGTGCAGATAAATGGACAGTCTTGTGTGCTGCTAGTGGGAATATAAATAGAACAGCAATGAATTTATAAGGTTTTTTCCCTCATTGTTTTTGACATTACTAGTTGATTCTTGAACAATGTGTGGGTCGATTTACATGCGTATTTTTAAATTGACCCACACATTTCAGACCTGCATTCTTCAGGGTCACCTGCCAGTTGGAATCTGAGTATACAGAGGCTGACTTTGGTTATATGCGGATTATTGACTGCATGGGCAGTCGGCACCCCTAACTGTCCCACTGTGCTTTCGGGAAGGTAATTTGGAAATGTATCAAAACAATGTTTTAAAATTATTTCATTCTTCCATTTAGCTCAGCAATGCTAGGAATAAACTCTAAGGATTTACATAAAGACCTAGTAGTGTCTGTAATGGAGTGAAATTGGAAAGTACCTCCATGTTCTTTTCTTTTTATTATTTTTAATTTAATTTTTAAAAATTTCTTTATTAAGGTATCACATATTTGTCCTCATCCCCCCATTCCCATCCCCCACCCCTCCTCACTCATACCTCCACCCCCTGTTGTCCTTGACCTCTGGTTAGGCTCATATGTGTGTCCTCCATGTTCTTTTCTAGGGGACAGATCAAATCATGGTACAATAACATGTTGGAGAGTGTTCCAAAGAGTAGGCTATAAAATATAATGTATAGTATGATCCCCACATAATTTTTCAAATGTATATGGCTCTTTATATGTATGGTTCTCTTCTCTCTCCAGTGTTTCCCAAAGTGTGGTACGCGTACCCCCAGGGGTACGGGAAGTGTTTGGTGGGGATATGCACTGCACCATACTTAGCTGCGCCTAATTCTACGTTCTACGAGGGGTACTCAGCTTTATGAAAATTATAGAAGGGGTACACATATGTCAAAAGTTTGGGAAACACTGCTAGGCTATACAACTAACCAGGGTTAGTCACCAAATCTGTGGCCTTGAGTTCTAATCTACCTCTCCTCCCCATGCCATACCCCATCTCTCTTTGGCCTCTTCTGCCTTTCCCCTTGAAGGGCTCACAGCATCTCTGAGTTAACATGGTCAAATGGAACTCTGAATCTTCATCTGCCGTCACTCCCCAAAATACTCCCCCTCTCAGGAAACGACACTTCTGTCCACTTTTCATCTCAGAAAGCTCTCTTCCCCATCATTCAAACACCAGGTCCTATCGATCCACCCTCCAAACTACATTTTTGTCACGACATTGGTGTTGGAGACCAGAACTGTGTCTTCCCTGCCAAATGCACCTGGACTCACTGCCCTCCTGCTCTTGTCCCCACAGGCCTGACGAACGATGCGACAGGCATGATGGAGGTCGAGTCCTCCTACTCAGACTTCATCTCCTGTGACCGGACAGGCCGTCGGAATGCGGTCCCTGACATCCAGGGAGACTCGGAGGCCGTGAGTGTGAGGAAGCTGGCTGGAGACATGGGCGAGCTGGCGCTGGAGGGGGCAGGTCAGAACCCTTCAGCACTTTGCACGTCTCCCCGTTTCCGCTGCTAGACAGCCGCCACCCAGCCCTGTGGCTGCCACCTCATGCCCAAGCTCAGATACCAGGTGCTCAGAGGGGCTTTCTCTGGCAGCTCCAATTGGCCCTCCCTGGTCACATGACTCCTCAGCACTCTGACGAGGTCTCCTGGGTTTAAATATGAGCTCCAGGAGAGCAGGGGCCTCTGTTCTCTGGCAAGAGCAGGTGTCTGGCAACCACAGGCTGAATGAGTGGAGGAAACCGTATCTGCTGTCCCCTCTGTGATGCCCCTCTCCCTCCCTCCTTCCCCTGAGTATAGAACAGAGATGACTTTGTGGGGGCACGGGCCGACCCTGTCATGTTATTTAATCTGGACAAGTATGTACAGAGAAGTGGGTAGCTTGCTCAGGGTCACCAGCAAGTTAACAGAATGAGAACCTGGCTTCCCCTAGCACCTGGCCCAAGGGACACAACCCACACCCCTTCTCTGTTCTGGCAGCACCCCCTTATCATGTGGCCCACACTCCCTACCCAGGCACATGAGCTCCACCCATCTCACCTGCTCGCCTCAGCTCATTGTTCTCCCGTGGTGCTTCTGTTCATGGGCTAAGCACCCTGCTTCCTATGCCCTGCCCTCCCTGGCTTCCCCCTCCTCCTCAGAAACCCAGCTGCTCCGGCAGGGGCAGGCACATCCTCTCGCCTCTATCGCACCCAGCACAGTGCCCCTTCTCCAGCTGCAGCTTCTCCCACACAGCATCTTTGTCTTGTGCCCGTGGTGCCTGGCAACATTTGGAACATGGTAGAGGTGCCTAGTCAATGGCTGTTCACTGTCCAGCTGCCACCTGGGCATGCTGCCAGGCCTCTGTACCCTCAGCTCTGGTGAGCTGTGTCAGTCTCCCTCTACCAGTTGCAGCCACTCGTCAGGGGCCCAGTCCCGTCTAAAACCTGTTCCATCCAATTCACACTCTCTGAGGGGTCTCCTAGCAGGTGCATTTTCCTTCCAGGGTGCCTGGCATTAAAAAGGACCCGAGAAAGGAATAGTGCCCACTTCAAGGAAGTGAAGCCCTCATGGTGGAGTGCAGGCCAGACTGGCCGAGGAGCCCTGCTCTGAGCAGTTCCGCAGGCAGGCCTTCCGTGCTCAGTCCGGCACTTACTGAGGGAGCAGCAATCAGAGTCTGATCCTCCTGCTCAGAATGTTTGCTTAAAGCTTCCCAGGAGATGGATGCACAGCATGCTAAGTGCAAACCTGTCTTCCCCGATACCTCCTTATGTGAGGAGCACAAACCTTTCCTTCCTTGGCCTTATACTGAGAACAGACAAGACTTAAGGAATGAGGACACTGCCTGGCAGTGGGTAGCTGTGACACATCTTCAAATGGGCCCCAAAAGTTCCAAGGGTGCTGGTTGGAGAGGAAAGTGCTTAAGGCCCTGCTCGGGCCAGGAGAGCCGGGACTGGCACAGAGGAAGCGTTACCATTGGCTGAGGCTGTCCCAGCACACCCCTTCATGAACAGGTAGAGGTGTCATCATCCTCACTTTAAGGATCAGGAAGCAGAGGCTCAGAGATTAAATGTTGTCCAGGATTCCACAGCAAGGCAATGGCAGAGCAGAGATTGCTATGGAATCTAACCAAATGCTTCCTACCTGCTGGGGCAGGAGGCTCAGGCCCAAATAAGGCGTTGCAATGTGGGAAGCTTGCCCAAAGTGCCATTCTGAATTGTCAGGCCTCTGGAGGGGCCAGACGGACCCTCCGGAACCAAGCCTTAGTACGAGCACCACCCAGGATAGGAGGTGGCCTGGCAGAGAGACAGATATCCAACTTCTGCCTGCACCACTGGCTCCTACTAACACCAGCTTCCCAAGGCTCCTCAAGGCAAAATGGTGCCGTGTGGATGGTGACAGGCCTTTATAAACCCCGGCGATGCTGCTTGGCAGGAGTTGAATTTCCTGGAAATGGCACTGGCTCCCTCCATCACTTGATCTCAGGCAAATCAATTCACGTCTCTGAGCCTCGGTCTTCTCACCTGTATCAAGCCCCTAATCAGGCTGCTGGGTGGGTTACATGGCGCTTGGTATAGGGTGGTGGTTCTTAGTCGTGGGAATTAGCCTGAGGATGCAAAGGCAGAGGCCAGAGAGGGAGGTTCGGCTGGTCTGGTGAGGACACCGCAGAATGAAACAGTCGTAGACTCCACCCCTAACCCTGACGCAGGCCATACCTTGGTACCCTCCTGCACTGGCCTGGTCTGATGCCTTTTTCTAATGCCCTTTTCTCTCTTATAAGAACTACCATTCGCTGAGCACCTGTGACTTGCTGGGACCTCCCATGTGCCCTCTCCTCCTGGAGAACCTGCACAGCCCTTGATCCTTAACATGCCTTCGCCTGTTGCTTTTAGCATCCATCCATGATCCTGGCCTTTAAGTGAGTTAATGATGCTAGTAATGCCACATGCATCTTCTTTGTGAGCACTGAAATCTTAGAGACAAGGCTCCGGTTTCCTTCGGCTGCCACCACCTCTCAGCGGCTCCTTTCCTGCACCCAAGGCTCATCCACTGTTACCATTTTGGCTGGCCCTCCCCTCTCTCCTTCTGTGCTTTACGTTTGTGTATATGTTCCTCTTCCCCTTCTCTCCAGACGGACAGGCGGGGGCAGGTGCCCCAGACAAGGAGGCTAGCAACCAGCCTGCGAGCAGTGACGGGACCACCTCATCTTGAGCCTGACCTTGCCCAAGGAGGCTGGAAGAGAGACTGCTTCCCCACCTGGACAGGGAGCCCTGGCACTGGCCCAACAGCCTCTTCTGAGCCCCATGTTCCAGGCAAGCAAGGTCAGACTGAGGCACCCCAGAGGCCCTCACCCTGGGAAGGCCCTCTGCCCACACCCACAGGCTCCACGCTGCCACCTCCTCACCGTGCCCAGGTACACTTCTCAGACACTGTAACCACAGGATGTTATTTATTCACTGGGCACTGAGCCTCGGGGGCTGGGGCCTGCTCACCCGGGGGAGTGGCCCACCCACAGCATCCTCTCCTGGGCAGCCTGGGCAGGCACCATGGCCCAGTTCTGCCCCCTCGTCTCCAAAACCAACCGTCTTGGTCAAGACCTTCTGATCCGATCCCTTTTTTTAAAAAGAAACTTTAAAAAATTGTAAACCCTTTTCAGCAGAGAGGGAAGGAGCTGACAATTCACTTTTTTGTGAAAGCCATTTTAATCTAAATTCTGCGCATCTACGCAGCTCTGAGGTTCCCTCCTGGAGCTTTTCAGATCCAGTTTTAGGGAAGGGATTTTCGTGCTCAAAATTACTTGATCAACTCTGTCCTTCCTTTCTACCAAGATAACACCTGGGACCCAGGAAATAAATGCTGGTGATTTGTGTGACTGGTTTAAGATTGTTATTTCTGCGTTAAACAGCACAAGCAGAGGCTAGGCCACGTCCACAGCTGGCTGTGATCCATTGCTGCCACAGTAAGAAAATACCTGAGCAGAAGCTGGTGTCCGAGGACCTTCTTCCCTCTCACCCGTCCAGCTTCAGGAACCCAAAAGGAAGGTTTCCCCTTAAAACCTGGAACGGGAGGGGCTGAGAGTCCAGGGAGCCTGTAAGCAGAGGACTCCTCGAGAGAAGGCTGGCTGCTTCGGGAGGGAGGGCAGGCGAGGGCCTCCCCCAGCACAGGAGCTCTGGCTGCCCAGTCACAGCCGCCCCTGGACAGGCTGCCCAGACGCTCCTCTCTCTCTCACCTCACCCACTGGTCCCGCCCAAGACCACACATCACGTGCCGCACAACACCGGCCCTTGGCTGCTTTATTGAGCACCAGCTTTTCCACATAAATCGCCAGAGGAGGAGGGTTTCACACCAGAGCAGGGGCTTGACCATGCCACACTGTGGTTGGCAGGGGCATACAGGCTTCCAGTAGCAGCAGTGCCGACTATGGAAATCATTGTCTTCCCCGAGGAGGAAAGCTGGTTCACTCGGCCCCCCCAGAGCTAAGAAGTCTCCATCCATGGGGTGCGGCTCGGAGCGGTGGCCAAAATGCCTTCACGGTTGATGCTCTGCTGGCCAGGTCAGAGAAGCAGAAGGTTAGGCAAGTCCCAGCCTCCAGGGCATAAAATCACAGCATCAGAGCCACAGGCGTCCCCTGCAGAGACTTAGAGCCCGAGAATGCCAACGCCACGCAGGAAGGAGCAGAACAGCTAAGACCTTCAGAAAGTCTCCCCCTCAGACCAGCCTCCAAACAGCGTTTACAGAAAATAGGCCGGGCCGAAACCAGTTTGGCTCAGTGCATAGAGCGTCATCCTGTGGACTGAAAGGTCCCGGGTTTGATCCTGGTGAAGGGCATGTATCTGGGTTGCGGGTACATCCCTAGTAGGAGGTGTGCAAGGCAGCTGATGGATAATTCTCTCTCATTGATAATTCTCTCTCATTGATGTTTCTAACTCTCTGTCCCTCTCCTTTCCTCTCTGTAAAAAATCCATTTAAAAAAATAAAATAAAATAAAAAACTTAAAAAAAAGAAAATAGGCGGGGTGAAAGGCTGCCCAGGCGCCATTGCAAGTCCTCCTTGGTGCTGCCCCAGAGAGGGTGTCTCGCCGGGGGCCCCCCAGAAAGCTACACGAGCCAGAAGCGCAGACGAGAACATACCTGCAGGTGGCATCCCATAGGCTTTATAGAGCAGATTCAGTAGCTCCTTCTTTTCACCTTCTGGGAGGAAACTGGACTTGGCCGCATTGATATTCTAGAAGGGCCAGAACGGCAGACAACATGGAACCAGAGAATGTGGAAGGGACCCCGGGGCAATCTAGTGATGGTCCACTCTCTTCACTGAATGGGGGCAGGTGATTAAGCTCGGAGAGGAAGGGGCTTGTCCCAGGAAAGGTGAATAACTGCCAGAGCAGAGACCATGCGATTGTGTGATCTCAGCGTGGCACTCTAGCCCAGCCAGTGTGGCTCGGTGGTTGAGCATCAACCTATGAGCCAAGAGGTCAATGGTTCGATTACTGGTCAGGGCACATGCCTGGGTTGTGGGGCTCAGTCCCCAGTGTGGGGCATGTAGGAGGCAACCAATTAATGATTCTCTTATATCATTGATGTTTCTTCTCCCTTTCCTTTCCTCTTTAAAATCAATAAAAATATATTTAAGAAAAAAATTTTAAGTGGCACTCCATGACACAATAATGTGAGAACCAAGTTGGAGAAACTTTGAGAGGCAGGGTGGGATGTAGGGGACCAAAGAGACAGTCCTGCGGAGACAGGCTCGAGAAGTGTAACATCTAAAAATCAAGAGCTCAACCCTGGGTCTGTGAACGGCTTGAAAGTGCAGGATTTTATAGCTGACTTGGGGAGAGGGTGGATGGTTTTCATCAGTCTTTGAGGGCAAGCAAAGGATGAAACACCTGGTCCCCAGGCCAGGATGTCCCTCTGGGGAAGTCATCTAACTCTAGGTCTGGCTTGGCCTATTAAGGTAAACGCACTCCTCACCCTCGGAGGTTCCAGGCCCTGCAGGCCTCACAGTCCCGGAGCCCAGAGCCCACGCCCACTCACCAATCTCTTAAACTCCTCTTCGGTAAAGCCCATCTTCTCTTTGGTCATCTTGTAATCAGTTTCCAGGGTGGACTTGAAGATGAGCGGGTCATCCGTGTTTAGTGAGTAGTTAGCCTTGTCCCTCTTGAATCTGGATGTGGGGGAAGAGCCTCCTTTTACTCTGTGAGCAGTCACTGCATATTGACCCCGCCACCTTCCTTGAGCCTCACATCTTTAAATACACCTGGGAGGTCCCCTCAGGCAGAGGAAGAAACAAATTAGAGAACTTGGGTGACTTGTGCAAGGCCACATGACTAGGAACTCAAGCCAAGCCATCTGATCAAGCCGGAGCCAGGCATCGGTAGGAAAGGGGAGACCCACAGCACCCTCCTCCAGCTACCACCCTCTCTAGCCATCCCCTTCACAGCCAACGTTCTGGGAGGATTGTCAGTGCCCTAGCCCTAGCCCAACTCTAACCGTCCTCAATCCCACTGGGCTCTGCTTCTCAAGAAACTCATGGCACGGTCCCCTGCCCACGGCCTGAGCCCAGTGACCTTCCAGCTCCTACTGCACGCGGCTTGTGTAGAATTCTACCCTGTGGACTGTTCATGGGACCCTTTCTCTCGAATCCTCAGACACCACACTGTGGCTTTCCTCCTGCCTGCCTCCAAACTGTCACTGCCTCCTGGGTCCTCTCGTAGGCCCTCTTCCTCCCCATCTTCGTAGGCCATCACTTCTCCCTTCAACCCCGACGTCTGGGTAGATGGCTCTTGAATTCTTCCACAGCCCACAGGTTGTGTGCCCATGTGCCTCCATGAACCTCCCGGATCAGCACACTCCTCTCCTAAAGCTGAGCTCAGCACCCCCTTGTCATCAGTGCTGTCCCAAGCCAATGCTGTCCTGACCGTGATCACCCCGAGTTCTTGCCGTCCTCATGCACTTGCCGTCCGTCAGAGGCGGGTGGCTATGCCCTCCCAAGGACCCCCCAGGGCTTAGTCAGAGGACAGTGAAGACTGGCCGTGGCTGTGCGTTGGACTGCGGGAAGGAAGCAGTGGAGGGTGGGACAGGCCTTCAGGGAAAAGCTTCAGGGCAGTGCTCGTGGGAAAGCCCAGAGGAGCCCAGAGAGCCCACGTGAGCAGGAGGCACCCATCCCCCTGACCCTGGGAGGCAGGGTCCGGAGTGCCAGTTTCTCTGGGGCAGCAGGACATCCTGGTACAGCCCAATGGGCTGCAGGCCCCGGTTCTGCTATGTCGTCAGGTTACAGCACACCCGAGCTTTGGAGTCCTCATGTGTAAGATGAGGATGGTAACCCTGCTTCCCAAGAATTCCAACAGGCTTTGTATCAGGAGACCCAGCACAGCCGGTGCCCGGTCCCTGCATTTTTCCGCCACCCTGGGCCCTCCTGGTACAAGACTGAACCGGCCCCAGGGGCGAGCCTCACCGAACGACTGCATGCTCCGTGTCCGGGTTCCAGGCGCCCGTGAGGTAGCTGGACCAGGGGCAGACCTGGAAGAGCAAGCAGGCATGCGGCTGGCATAGACATCCCAGGGTGCCCGGCCTGCACCCCCACGTCCCGGGCCTGGAGCCACCGATCCCGGCCATGGTCACATGGCCTCCCTGTTGCCGACTCCCATGGGATGGGAGCTTGAGGGCCCACTCCCCTTCCGCTCCCAGGCCCCTCCTAGCTTCCCACCTCAAAGTGCATGTCCGTCTCCAGCAGCCTCTTGTACAGGGCCTCGTCCTCCACGGTGTGGTAGCCATGTCCCACCCGCTCCGTATGGAGCCTGTCCACAGCCTGCAGGGAAGCAGATGGAGTGCAGTGAGGGGGGCCGGGTGTAGGGAGAGGGCCCGCACCCCGCCAGCCGCCAGCCGCCTCACCTCTTTCACCACCTCTGCGGAGCCAACCTCCCCGGCGTGGACTGTGCGGTGAATGCCGTTCTTCACAGCCTCCTGGAAGGGCAAGAGCCGGGTGGTGGGTGCCTCGGGGTGGGCCCTGGGGTGCCCCCCGCAGGCTCAGGGAAGTGAGGAACATGACCAAGGTCAAATAGCCGGGAAGTGGGAAGCCAGGCTCCGAACCCGGGCAGTGACTGTCCGGAGCCCCACTCCCAACCCTGCCCCTCGCTCCTTCCATAGAAGGCCGAGCCCTCTGCCCAGACAGGCCAGCCAAGAGACCATCTCGCTGAAGGTCACAGCAAATCACAGGCAGAAAGACTCCCAACAGCAAGCGGGGTCTTGTCTTCATACCAAATTCACACCCCGAGGGCCCGCAGGCCCAACTGAGAGGCCTGGGAACCCAGAGACCTCACACTGAGCAGCCGTGCGACGGCTCCCTGCTGTGGGCAGAGCCACGCTGCTTGCTCCCAGAGCCTCCACGGCCAGTCCCCGCCCGTCCCCCAGGACCCACCTCATACGCCTTCAGGTGTCCAGGGAAGAGGCTGCTCCCCACGATGGTCTCGTCCCCAGCCAGATCGATGCCCACCACGGTCTGATGCCTGTACTTCTTACACAGCTCCACCACCTCGGGGGACCAGTCTGCGGGCGAGATGCCCACGGGGCTCTGTCAGGAGCCGCCACCGGGGAACGAGCCTTCCCGGACGCCTGCTTGCTGCCCCACCACACTCACCCTCCACCCAAGGCCAGCACATGACAGAGGGCCCAGGGTGCCATCTTCAAACCCCGACTGCCGCAGCCTAACCACATGGCCTCAGCAAACTTCCTCTCAGGGACGCACCACCAGCGACTGCACAGGGTCAGCAAGGCTGTGCCCAGGTGCTGTGCGGAGCACCGAGGGCAGAGCCTGGGCTCAGTGCACGGCCATGGCCACCCATGGCCACTCTCTCCATTGTCCCCACAGCAGCCCTCAAGGTGGGCTCCTGCCCACTTAGACGAGGAGAGGGGGGGCGGCCCACCGTTTCCCATTTAAATCTAACACGTGACTCGCTGGCATTACCCACCCTATTGCTAAGGAACCGGGGACTCTTAACCGGCAAAACTCATCGCTGAGTGTTTTAAAATGAGTGGGAAGTCACAGGCCTTGAAACCAAATGGCCTCGTGAGCGTTTTGCCTTCCTGATTGAAGAGCAAGCGCTTCCCCTCTGTCTCCGTTTCCTCATCTGCCAAATGGGATCAACAACGGTTGTCTCACAGGCTGCTGCGAGGATTGGAGGACATCCAGGCGAGTCGCCATGTGCACTGACGTTGCTGTGGCCCTCACTACTCACAGTGGACAGCGTGCGCCTGAGGTCAGGGAGGGATGGGACTTGCCCACGGTCACACAGTGGGGCCCTGCACCTCGGACGTCCCCTGGAGACTTGATCAGTGTCGGTCACAAGGGAGACCCCTCAGGTCCCCGAGGTCAGACCTACTCATAGTCCTGCGGCCTGAACCGCAGGAGGCCTGGCCCACAGGGTCTCGAGGGGCGAACGGTGGGCTGACCAGAGCCTGGCTTAGCTCGTTTTTCGTTGTTCAGGCTCCCTTGGTTTTGAACCGCCTGCAGGTCAGGCTGCTGTGTGCCTGGTCTCCCAGGGAGAAAAGTGCTGCCAGAAGCCCTGAGCCTGCCCAGGAGGACTCCGACGACTTCAGGAAGCCTTGAGGTGCAGCTGATGGGCTCAAGGGGATACCGGGTGGCAGGGGCGCAGCCCAGCACCGGCCGGGAGGTTGGGGCTGGTAAGATGTGCAGCCCAGGGCAGGGCCGAGGTCACACTCACTGGGCTCATGGCGCATGCAGCAGAGGATGGACCGCACCTTCACCTTGAAGTCTCGCTCTCCCTCCTGCAGGCCCTGGCTCACTAGGTGCACCACCTCGTCTGGGCTGATGTCCCCTCTGTGTGGAGAGAGGAGTAGGGATGGGCCAGGGACAAAGGAAGGTCTGAAGGACAGCCCTGGGACTGGGTCAGAGGAGGGAAGGAGGGAGAGGAAAGTCCCCTCACCAGCCCACAGCCTCTAAGAGAACACTGAGGGAGCCAGCCCAAGCCCTAGCACACTCCCTCCGGCTTCATTGGAACTGCCGGCACTTCCAGACCTAGAGAGGGGGGTGGTGTGTGTGTGTGTGTGTGTGTGTGTGGTGGGGGTGGCTCAGATACCCTCAGCCCTGCCTCCAGGTGGGGAGTACTGCTGAGCTCACCGCGTGTGAGTCCCACTTGTTCTGTGTCAGAGTCATGGCTAGAAGGGGCAGAGTGGTTGGGTGGCAGCACTTGTAGATCCCTGAGGTCCAGGCAAGCAACAGGAATGGGCCAGAATCACCCCAGTTACGGGGTCAGAGCAGGACCCTGGAAGTCACTGGGTAAGTAGTGACTGCAGGCCTGTGTCTAGGATTAGGGGTGACAAATGCCGAACGCTTTCTCCCAAAGTTAAAGCATAAGCCCAGGTGAGGGGTGGGAACCCTCTCTCAGGACCGAGTGAAGCTCATCTTCCCAAGGCCGCAGACCGGAACAGGGGGATGGGGGGGAATGGGGCAAGATCAAAGTCTTGCTGGGTCAGGGCCTCCCAGCGGTCTGTCCCTCGGGCCCCAGCCTCCCTGCACGGTCACTCACTTCGCCTGGTTCCAGGGGATCGGCTCCACTTTGTCGTTGGCCAGCAGGTGCGGGCTGTAACGCACCTCCACGTACACCGCGCCCTCCTTGGCTTTCATCTCAACGAACTCATAGGCGACCCTTTTGATGGCCTCCCGGCAGCCCCTGGGAAGAAAAGGGAAGGAAAGGGAGCCCTTGAGACAGCCCTCTCCAGTGTCCTTCCAGAGCTCCAGGAACAAGTCCAGCCCAACCCTTGGCAGATCGAACCACTTCTGGCCCGATCTTTCTCCTCCTGTGCCAAGCCCTGGGCCTCCGCTGGAGAAGATCCTAGAAGCACGACCAGTCCTGTCAGCTCTGCTTCCAACCTGGCAGTTCTCATCCCCTTCACCCTGGTTCTCTCCTGCCGTCTAACTGGTCTCCATGCTTCCCTGTGCCTTTCCTCACAGCAGGCAGAGCGGCTACAAATCAGAGCATAAAGCATAACGCTCCCCTGCTCTGCAGCCTGAGGGCTCCCCTTGTGTGAAACGAAATCCCCGTCTGTATAACCCCCCTTCCCCCAGCCTCCCCAGCTCTTTCTGTCAAAGGGACAGTCGAGCTTATTCCCACCTCCGGGCCTTTGTGTCTGCAGCTCCCCAGCCTCCATGTCTTTCACCAGATCGTCCTGTGCTCCCTCCCCTGCTCCACTCAGGCCCCTGCTCCAGTCTCACCTCCTCAGAGAGGCCGCCCTGACCGACCACCTTATCTTAAAAAGGCCCTACTGGCGTTCTCCGCCCCTTCCCCTGAACATCACTGGTTTATTAGCCAGTTTTCATCTCCCTTCCCAGTGAGTGTGGCCATGGCACAAGGGCTCCTCCATCTGTCTTGACACTGATACGCTCCCTCAGCCGCGGCCAGAACCTAGGACACAGCGGCCCCTCGCTGTCTGCTGAGTGATGGATGTAGGCCAGCAGGGAAGAGAAATAAGAGAGAAGGACATACACGGGCCACCAGAGCAAAAATAGACAAGTGGGATTGCATCACCTGGAGGCTGCACAGCAGAGGAAACCCAGCAGGGAGAGGAGAAGTACGGAATGGGAGAGAGGGCTTGCCAACCGGATGCCTGCTAAGGGACTAATAGCCAAAAAATTCAAAGAAATCCTAAAGACCAGCGAGCATGGCTCCAGGTTGAGTGTCAATCTATGAGCCAGGAGGTCATGGTTTGATTCCCAGGCAGGGCACATGCCTAGGTTGTGGGCTCAGTGCCCAGTGTGCGGTGTGCAGGAGGCAGCCAATCAGTGATTCCCTTCCATCATTGATGTTTCTAGCTCTCCCTCTCCTTTCCCCTCTGAAATCAATAAAAATATATTTTTAAAAAGAGAGAACAGGACACAGATGGACAAATGTGGAGGGAACTCTGGGGTAGGGAAGATATCTGGGACTCAGACTGAACCCTGGCCCCCACACTTATCTGCTGCGTAACCCGTTAGTCACCTCTGACACATCCCCCGAAGGGCTACTGAGGACAAGTCAGTTAAACATAAAACTCATCTGAGTCAGTGCTTGGGACAGAACAGAGATGCTCATTGTTTTAGCTGTCATTTCTGAATGTGGGCTCCAGCAGCAAGGCACAAACTAACCTGCTGGGCCACTGTGAGTGTGGCCAGATGGCAGGGGACGTGCTTCGGGGGAGTTTCCACCAGGAAGCACGAGGGACGGGTTACTAGAAAGCAGACTGAGAGGTGCCCTGCGGAAACGGGCGGCTCCCAGGGCACGTCACGGAAGGACCTGTGCTTTGGAGAGCCAGGATGAAGATGGGCAGCTGCCGAGGGAAATCCCTGGGGGCGGGGCCAGCCCTGGGAGGGGGCGGGGCCAGCCCTGGGGAGGGAGCTGGCCTCCCAGGGAGAGGGTCCTTATCTCCCCTATGGCTGGTGGCTCCTTCCACACTGCCCTGAGGGCAGGAGACACAGCAAACAAAATCCCTGTCCTCACAGAGCCCACAGCCTAGCAAGAGGGACAGGGAAGGAAAGAAGATAAATATACATTCGGGTCAGATGGTGAGTTTTATGGGTACACACACATCGCGGGGCCAGGGGAATGTGTGGGGGAGGGGCTGCAGTGTTCAGTGGTGTAATCAGGGAAGTCCACTCTGAGAGAGGGGCGCGAGCAGAGACGTGAAGGCGAGGAAGTGAGTGGAGTGCTGGGGCCTCTAAGGAACAGTGCACAGGCAGAGGGAACAGCAGCGGCAGGGGACCTGAGGTCCGGGGGCGAGTGCTGCCCGATGTGGCTGGAGAGGGGGAGCCAAGCGGCGAGTGGCAAGCGCGGGGGGCTTCCGTGTGACCCCAGTGCGTGCTGCAAGGGGGTGAAAAGTCAGAGTCTCCAGGGCCATGGCCCCAAACAGCCAGGCAGCTCTGCAGGAGGTGCTGCCTAGTGGCCTGGGTGGGCTGGGCCTCTCGGTCACAGGGCCAGGAGAGGGGCCTAGGCCTGCTCGCACGTTCTGGTGCGGCGGCAGGTGTCTCCAGGGAGGTGGTGTGTGTCTGCTTGCCGGAGGCGAGGACTGGGACGTCCAGTGCCTTCCAGGCTGAGCCCACAGGCTTCCAGCAACAAGTCCTTGCCACACACCGTCCTGCCCAAGGACTGCTCCTACCTGCTTTTCCCCTTACCCAGCCAACGCCTCTGCTCTGCCTCACACACCTTCACCCTCCTCCAAGCCTCTCCTCAAGCCTAGCCCCCTGGACAACATCACACCCTCTCTATCCCGCAGTTCCTCCTCCAGGCAGCCCTTCCTGACTGCCCCTGCCCCCGTGTCTCTCCCTGCCTCCAGACGACTACGGAAAGCATAGTTCTGTGAGCTGTGCAAATATGATGTTCATCTATGAGAGAGCCTGCTATGAAAGAAAATGGAAGGAATGCAACGTGACATAAAAGCACCAGGGCGGCGGCTTTCTCCACAGCGAGGTGGGAGTGCGAGGAGCCCCGGGCGGCAGACAGATCACAAGGCCACTGTGTGAATGAGGGGCCTGAGGATCAGGGGAATGTGCCCAACATCACGTCATGAGACTGAGACAAGGACCTGTGTTCCTACCCCCCACATTGTGTCCCTTCTCTATAGAAACTGGATTTCAGTCCAACACACCCACTTTCCAGAGAGGAAAATCAAGGCCCAAAGGCACGGAGAGAGTCAAGCGAGTATACACAATGGTGAACAGCAGAGCTGGGGTCTCCGCCCCACACGCGGGGAACTGCAGGCCTGGGGCTGGCAGGATGGACTCTGACTAGGGCCCGAGGTGGGGGACTCACGCGATGACAGGCATGTAGTAGTTGAACTTGGCCAGGAAGCACGGGAGGGTGAGTGGCTTGTCCATGCCAATGATGTCCTTCAGCTCCTCAACTGTGTTAGCAGGGAGGGGGATCCCTCTCTTCCTGGAGACAGAGCATGAGGGTGACAGACTGCCCCTGGGGAAGACCGGACCAACTTCCCAGGGGCCACAGCTGGAAACCTGAGATCCTCTCCATCCAACTCCACCCATTGGACAGATGGGAAAACTGAGGCCCAGCACATACACAACCAGGATCAGAGTCCTCCCAGCACCTCCTGTCCCCAAGGCCATAACCAGCCAGCGGATTTCCAGGAGCGGGGGCACCTGGGGTTAAAGTCTGTTTGTGTGCATGGACAAGTGCCGGGCACAGGGACGGTGCCAGGGCAGCAAGCCCACAACTTTGCCTCAGCCTGAGTGTGGGTACAGCCAACTTGCCCTGCGCCAGCTCAGGGGTTAGGAGGGGCAATAACTACGGGGCAGGGGCAGGGGCCAGGGCGAGCACTGGCCCTCCCTCCTCTGCTCTCTTGCAGATCAACTTATCAGAGAGGCTTGCAGGCCCAGTGTGTGGGGAGGGGCCGGGGGCTGGCTGTCGACCTCAGAGGCCTTCCTCTCCCAGCCCTCAGCCCCCACACGGGGACACGGCCACCCCAGGATGGCCTTGCTGAGGACAGCCCTCCGCCTGGAGCCTCCTCGTCTCAGCAGCCTCTCCGCCTCCCCGGCCAGGGCATTGGGTTCGGCTGGGCTGGCGATGCTCATCCTGGCTCAGGGTCGCCCTGGGCGGCAGTTTTCCCATTTTTTAGATAAAAGAGACACCAGGCACTCAAGAAACACTTCTACCACGAGGGACACAACAAGAGACAAAAGAGTTCTGAGGAAACTAAAAAAGCCGCAAACAAAAAGGGACCGGAACCTAAAATGCAAATCCTCCAGGAGATGAAAGGTGGAGCATCGTTGGAACAGGAGCCTCGCTGTTTACAAGGGGACATTTCGAGAGTAAGAAAGAGCTGCTGGACATTTAAAGAATATGGCGGCAGCCACTGGGAGGAAACGAAAGGGATGGAAAATTCTCCAGCGAGTAGAACAAAAGACAAGGTGATAAAAAAAAAAAAAAAAAAAAAAAAAAAAAGCAAACGGTAAAGAAAATTAGATGATTGAATCAGGAGGTTCAGGCATCCAGTTACCCATAAAGCAAGATGATAGGAGGAAGAAATGGCCAAAGAAATGGCAGTTTGACTGGACATGCTTACTTACATCCTTTCATGGCTTCTGTTATTCAAATATTAACATGTTTTCCTACATAAATACCTGTGTGTTCTTTTAAAATATTTTATTGCTTTTTTACAGAGAGGAAGAGAGAGGGATAGAGAAACATGGATCAGCTGCCTCCCGCACACTCCCTACTGGGGATATGCCCGCAAGCAAGGCACATGCCCCTGACCGGAATCAAACCCGGATCCCTTCAGTCCGCAGGCTGATGCTCTATCCACTGAGCCAAACCAGTTACGGTTAAATACCTGTTTCTTAAGCCCATAAATATGCCTTCCTCTCCTCCGTGTGGCTCCAGCCCCTCTGAGTGTCCAGTGGGTATCACCCTGGTCCACCACCAGCCCACCGGCCAGCCCAGCACGACTCCTCACTGGCCCACATCCCTGCCCGACGCCAAGCCCAGTGCCCACTGAGCCTCTCCCCTGCTGGCCAGCCTGCCCCAGAGTCACCCTCTGGAGCCACCCCCAAGCCCAGGCCACCCCCAGGCCCCAGGCCGCCCTCAGGTGTCAAGTGCTGTGCTGTGACTCACTCTGAGAGCCGGTGGGCTGCAGGCAGAGGAGGTGGTGCTAAGGCTCTGGCTTCCATGTTGGATGCAGGGGCCACATTTGCCTTGGACCCCGCCGCTTCCTGTCGGGGCGCTGCCTCCTGACCATTCTCTTCCAGATTTCCTTTCATGGATCTCAAACCAGGACCCAGGGGTCCCCAGTTTCCAACTCCTCTCACACCACCTGCCAGTCTGCCGGGCAGTGAACGGACCGAGACAGACTCATGTGTCTGACCACCCCCTTCTCCTCCCACTCTGGGCTCCACTGGCTCCTCCATCTAACCACCAAGCCAGAGGCAGGGCCTTCCCCCACTCCATCTCCCTGGTCTTCTTCCCGCCTCCCTGGGGCCTGGCCACGGAGCCCGGCCCAGCGTGGAGCATGGACCCAGGCTTTGGAGTTCGAAGCCCAGGCCCCTGTATGTGCCACCCCACCCCAGGCAGGAGCTGTGCCCCCTGAGGACCTCCATGTCCTTGTCAGCAAGACTCAGGGCGTCTTTTGTTTGCAGGCACAGAGACGCACAAAGGAGGCTCTTTCCGTGTCCTGAAAGCTCTGAAGCCAGGTGGCCGGGGTGTGCACCCAGCTCTGTCGTAAAGGCTGGGTGGCCTTGGGCCCATTACCCACCCTCTCTGTGTCCACTAGGTCTGGTTCGTGTGAGAAACATCGGCTGTGGAATAACCAAGGAGCAGAGTAGGTCAGAGCTGCCTTCGGAGCACAGAAGGGCCATACGCAGACTGGCTTGACCCTGAGCAAGATGGGAGGGACCATGAGAGGGTCTGAGCAGGAGAGTGAGCTGCACAGACCGGTTGTAAGACAATTGTCCTGACTACAGTGCTGTGAGGACGGTAGAGGGGTGAGGCCAGAATGGACCCCTGAAGACCCGTCCTTTGTGGTAGTCTAGGTGAGGGACTGGCGGTGACTCAGACCAGAGTGGTGACAGAGCCAGGACAGCCAGATTGGGATTGGGCCTTAGAGAATGAGAGGATGGGGTCTCGGGAGGAGCCTGGGAAAGTCAGGAGATGGACTCACAGGAAGAAGAAATGGGTGAAAACAAAATCAATGGAGGCCTCCATCAGAGGCAGAAAAAGGGCCACGGGCTTTGGCCTGGGGGTAGGCCGCAGGCCAGACACTCCCCTCCTCCGTCTCTCGCTGTCCTCAGCCCGGGCCTACCCCCACCAGGGAGTCCTCCAGGGCTGCCCTTGCTGGAGTTCCCCCAACTCCCTGCTCCCCTGCCTCCGACCTCGAGGTCAAACTCCGCCAGCATCCCACCCCTCTCCAGGGCCAAGACTGCGCCCAGACACCAGGCGACAGGCAGACGGGAAGTCCAACCAGTCACCCGCAACGGTGGCTCCTGGCCTCCCCCGCCCTGGCGTCTCGCCTCCTGGCTGCGATTCCGAGTGCTCTCTGACCCCTCCACCAGCACCGATTAGATCCCATCTTGGCCTCCGATAACCCGCCCCAACGGCCTGGCCTCGCCGGGCCCTGTGGCAAGGCTGGCGCTCAACAGTCAAAGGACAGGCAGAGATAAGCCGGGGGCGTGACCCCATTAGCAGAGCCACTGGTTGTGATTAATGACACTGAGCTCATTAAGTGCCTTGTTGAAGCCCCGAGTTTGACTTATACCCCGGGTGGCAGGGTCCGGGCAAGGCGGGCCCTGGTCACGGCTGTGCTTACTAGACAAGTGTCTTCAGCTACCGTGACTCAGTTTCCTTTATATCCGTAACACAGGCGTCCCGGGGGATCCGGACGTTGTTGGCAGGCAGTGAATGCCCGCCCACACACACACACACACACACACACACACACACGCGCGCGCGCGCGCACACACACAGCTAAACAACGAGACCAACAGCAGGACCGCTGGCATGGGACAGACTGGCTGGGGAGCTGGCTCGGGAGCAGGAGCGATGCCCGAGAGCCGGGCTGACTCCAGGAGCTGCAGCTCCTCCTGGAGGCCTGAGGGCAGGCGGGGTCCTTCCGGCTCCACCTGAAGGCGAGTTGGCCGCACTGTGAGGAGCGCAGTCTGCCCAGGTAGGGGCGCCCACCTCCCGTCAGCCTCTCACCCTCGCCCCAGAGGACAAGGTCACAGCGAGGGAACTGTCTGGACTTGACTCCAGATCCACTGGCCTTCAAAGCCCCTGTGCTCATAGGTGCAGGGCCCAAGAGGGGCCACCATGGGCCCCTGAGGTGTGGGGAGGGGGCAGACCTCCCTCACGGGGGCGGGGGCTCAGGGGCCCTTTGCCCACCAGCATCCAGGGGGCTGCGGCAGGGGGTGGTGCTCTCCCCTGGAAGGTGCTTCACATCTCCCCGGAGGCTGTTTCCATGGGGATGTGGAGAACGCTCTGGGGGTCAGCTCACCCCATAAACTCTGGACTCTGCCACTGCCTGTGCATCTCTGAACCTGCTCTCCCTCAGCAAGATGGGATGGGGAGAGCCTCCTCCTGGGGGGGGGTGTCACCTGCACCAGTTCTCTGTCAGAACAGTGACTGGCTTGGCCCCACGAACTGCTTCCATGTGTGTGTGTGTGTGTCCATGTGTTTGTGTGTGTGTGTTATGTCCACGTGTGTCTCTGTGTGTGTGTCCCCGTGTGTGTGTGTGTCCGTGTGTGTGTATGTGTGTCCGTGTGTGTGTGTGTGTGTGTGTGTGTCCGTATGTAAGGTGGCATATGCTCCCCTTGGCTCACCTGGAAACAGGAAGACAAAAATCAAAGGCGCCAAAGGCAGGAGACATGGGCTGTGGGTCTCCAGCTCAGAGACCCTTCCGGCCGGAGGCTGGCAGATCCCCAGGGAGACGGCAAAGAGCAGCAAGTCTGGATGCTCTGAGTCCTCAGACTGGGGGGAAGGCCTCGCATCCACGGACTTACCTGCCATAGTATAAGATCGTTTCGAGCTTAAACGACCCATCCAAGTGGACATGCAGTTCTACCTGAAAGAGAGAATACACCCCATGAATGGGGAGGACCTTCTGAGTCAGTGCTCACTCACCACGATGACCATTTGCCACCCCTCACCGTGCATGCGTGTGCACACACGCACACGGACACACACACAGGCACTGACGTCCACACACACCCTCGTGATTAATCCTCACCTGTGGGTGGGCCTGTTTCTCTCTCTCTCTCTCTCTCATGCTGAGAACACTGAGGTTCAGAGAGGTTAAATAACTTGTCCACCGCCACACAGCAAGCCAGTGCTGGAAGCAGGAACCCAACTCAGGCCCGTGTGCTTCCCACACCCAGTTAACAGAACCAGAATTCTAACCTGAGCCCAATCCCTACACACCAGGACAGCCATGGTCCCCTAGGAGCCACTGAGCCCAGCCACACGGGCAGTCCTGCTCTCAGACAACTCGCTACACAAACTCCAGTGATCACACAACGGGCTGACACACTTCCTGGACCAGCGAGCCATGGGATGCATTTCAAAAATCCCGCTCCCTGCTCCAAAGCAGGTGTGGCTCAAGCACAGCTTCTCGGCGATCGTATGAAAGCAGCCCCAGGTCCTCCCGGACTCTGGAAACCACACTAGATGCCCGTCCATCTGGCTGATTGTCCCCACAAGCAACGCTCTGCACACCGAGTCAGGAGACAAGGACCGGGGCTGGGACACGGCCTCTCGGCTCTGCCCTTCCTCTGGCTGCCTCGCTGGCCAAGACCAATGGGGAGGGCCCAGAAACGAGTGTCGAAGGGTCTGCATGGCCCACGAGCAGCCCTGCCTCTGGGTGTCTCAGGCGCTGAGGACAGGAGGGCGCCTTTGGCATCTGCTGGTCCAGCCCTGGAGGAAACGGTTCCTGCGTCCGGGGACCGAGAACTCCCTGCTGTCTCCACCAGGGTGGGGCCTGTTCTGGAACTTGGGGACGTGGACGAGCAAGTGGCTGCCTTGGCTGGGGAGGCAACTGGGCATCTGGGACACACACGCGAGCTGCCTGCCGCAGAGGAACCCCACCCAGGCCCGCCTTTCAGCAGGACGTCCGTCCGATCGTCAGAGCTCTCAGCGGCCATCCAGCTGGCTCAGAGCCAGGCGGCACCCACACCCAGCCTCGGGGCGTACCAAGCTGGTGGTTCCCGGACTACAGAGGCTCAGTGGCACGCAGCCAAATGCTTACCGGGTTCCCCTAGAATGCTCAGCATTGGGAACTCTGATGCCTCCAGTCCAGGGACCTGCCAGTCAGCTGTGTGACTCTGGACAGGGCACCCCACCTCTCTGAGCCTCCATTTTCTTATCCTTAAGGCTGCCCATGGGATGAGGACCCAGCTCCTCTCCTTGCTCCCTGGGAGGCCTGGGGTCTCCACCAGCCCAAAGGGAAGGTACAGGCCTCCCTCCTGCTTGGGGAGGGTTAACCACGTTAAAGCATGCAGTGTGCTTTGTGCGGAGCAAATGCTAAACAATCCTCAACCTCGAGGCCTTCATTCCCAAACATTCAAGGCCCCGCTGGGTGTGGCAGTGGAGCGGTAAGCTAATTAGGACGCCACTCCTATGACGCTTACAGCCCCGCCAGGGAGAGAGGCAGAGGCGTCACAGCGATAGAGGGCCAACCAGAGCCATGGCAACTCCTTGGGAAGCAAAAGCACAGCCTGTGAAAGAGCCAACACGAGAAAGAACCTCGCCCGGCAGGCTGGCAATGGCTTCCCGAAGAAAGCAGACCCTGGGCTGAGATCTGAGGAGGGAGATGGGAACAGCACTTCAGGCAGAGAGAACAGCCTGGCAAAGGCGGGGCCGTGAGAGTGTGGTGCAGGGGTGCGGAGGAGAGAGAAGGGGTTTGGGACTGGAGAGGTGCCGGGCCGCGCCCCCCCCCCCCCCCCCCAGGAAGAGCAGAGACAGAGACGTGTCCTGGGACCGAGGATGCAGGGCCCAGGCCCAGAAGCGGTTCCCACCCCACGGGCCAGGAGCACTGGGGCTTTGGAAAGTCAGATGCCTATGCCCTCCAAGTCAATTCCAGCTCAGCCGTGGGGTGGGCCCGGGCACAGGGGTTTGTTTTGAACATTAAGGCCAAGACCGAGATGCCCTGCCCTCCGGCTACCACCCCAGAGACCCTTGTGGGCAGGATCCACACGGGAGGAGGGGAGCCAGAGCAGAGGGAAGGGCACAGAGGCAATCTGGTGGATGTGAACTGTATTCCTTTTCCAGGCGGAAGTGACGTGTATTTCTCTTTCGTGTTTAAACGATGACGGAGGAGACTGAAGTTGAGAAAAGAGCTGCATGAGGTTCGGAAGGCGGGCGAGGTTAGAAGGCGAAACCAGAGAGCCCCCGAGTTCCCCGGGGGCAGGGAGCCTGGGGAGGGGGTCCCGGGGCTGCTGCCCCTGGGGGACAGGTGGGCCGTGAGGCTGCCTCTGCCCTCCCGCCGCACGGACACGTCCAGGATGGCAGCCGCCCATCGCCCGCGTCCCTGCAGGACTGTGATGAGCAGACCATGACGGACATGTCACACGAGCAAGAATGGGCACCTCTGGCCCGGCCGGCATGCTCAGTGGTTAAGCATTGACCTATGTACCAGGAGGTCAAGGTCTGATTCCCGGTCAGGGCACATGCCCAGGTTGCAGGCTCAGTCCCCAGGGTGGGGCATGCAAGATGCAGCTGATCAATGATTCTCTCTCATCATTGATGTTTCTCTCTCCCTCTCCTGTCCTCTCTGAAATCAATAAAAATATATTTAAAGCCGAAACCGGTTTGGCTCAGTGGTAGAGCGTCGGTTTGCGGACTGAAAGGTCCCGGGTTCGATTCCGGTCAAGGGCATGTACATTGATTGCAGGCACATCCCCGGTAGGGGTTGTGCAAGAGGCAGCTGGTCGATGTTTCTCTCTCATCGATGTTTCTAGCTCTCTATCTCTCTCCCTTCCTCTCTGTAAAAAATCAATAATATATATATATATATATATAAAACAAATAAATAAATAAAAAGACTGACACCTCTGCCGCCTTACCCCTGGGGATGTTGGTTACTGCAGCAGGCCAGAGTCTATCCTTTCAGAACTCATTGTACCAACAGAGGTGGGAAAAGGAACCAAATGCCTGAAGAAAAGAAGCACACAAGGGGGTGAGGAGAGGGTGTTGAGGGGGGTGAAGGGCAGTAACTCAAAGTGTTTAGAAAAGATCACTTTGTGTGGGGGGAATGGGAGGGAATAGGGGCATTAGTGGGGGAAGGAAGAGAAGGACAGAGAGCTGTTCCAGAGGGAACTGCAGGTGCTAAGCAATCAGGGGACGAATTGGTTCAAGTGCAGAGAATGTTGGTGGTGAGAGATGAAGCCAGAGAGAGTCCGGGGGTGGAAGGCAGGGGGGCCCACAGATAACAATGAAGGGGTCCACTGATGTTTCAAAGGGGGAGTGACCTTCTCAAAGCGTTTTCTGCTGCTGCGTGGCGAGCCGGTTGGCGGGAGGCAGAATGGAGGATGGAGGGCTGGCTCGGAATCCAGATGGGAGATGAGCAGTGACCAGAATTCCTACGGCATCACACAGGAGGTGCTCAGGAAGCACGAGCTGCTGGCACTGGGTGCGTGGCCGGAAGGTCGCAGGTAGAGCCCAGCCGCTCCCCGTGCCCACAGGGGCCGCCTCCTTGTGGGAGAAGCAGAGGCAGAAGCCACCTCCTCGAGCAGCCCAAGCTCAGGCAGGCCTCCCACTGAACCTTCTGGAAAACTGCCATGGAGAAGTGTCACCCAGATAACAGTGGGGTGCAAGCTCAGAGACTGCAGTGGGGACCCTGCTCCATGGAGCCCACTCAGGGAAAAAGAGCAGCAGGTGCTGGACCACCCACAGGCATGATCTTACTTCATCCTGACAACCTGGGAGGTTGGGATGTCACTCCTATCTTACAGAGGGGGAAACCGAGGCAAAGAAATTTCTAAGGACACAGTCAGTCAGTGATGGAATCAGGATTTGAACCCACTGAGTCTTGAGCTTCCACAGGCTTAGCCTCAGGTGTAAATGCAGCAGAAGGAACAGCAGCTGCCGGCTAGCAGACCCTTGGTCTCATTTGTCTCAGCCCCTCGGCAGAGCTGCACATGAGCTCCATCGGGACTTGCCAAGCTCAACCTGGAGAAATGCAGTGACCTGCCCAGGGCCACGCTGATCTACGGTGGCCGAGCAGGGCTGGAACCCAAGTCTCTCCAACTCCACGCCCACATCCTGCCAGGGCCACACACCTCCCTGGCACTGTGCCAGGCCTCCTGGGAAGACTCCCAGGCCCCGTCCCCTGCTCCTGCTCTCAGGGAGGCCGACTCACAAGCAGAACTGCAGGAAATCCTCCCAGATCTGAGCAGGAAGCATCCTCAGTAACCAACAAACATTTACCATCGGGCCCCCTGGGGAAACACGCCGAGCCCCTCAGGAGGGGCCAGCCAGACACTCGAGGCGCGGGCGGTGCGCTCACTGGCCCAGGCTCCCCCAAGGGGGCAGCAGCGGCGCCAGGACGAGGACCCAGGCTGGGGTTCCTGGGCTGTCCCCTCCCGGGCTTTCCCCAATCACTGTTCTTTCCCTCAGGGTTTCCCAGGCCCCCAACACATCACTGTTTGCCATCCACGGATTTTAGAATTCCCTCACCAGGTCTCTTTCCCCGCTATTAGTTTCCTGGGACCAGAGACTGTGCCCTCATGCTGTACCCTGGGTGCCGGGACAGTGCTCAGCACAGCAGACAGTGCTTAGCAGGTGCCGAGACCAGGGTGGCCTCCTCATCTCCCTGTCCTAGGCCAGGAGAGGGTCCTCTCCCTACCCGGAGAAGGGGCTGGCTGCCCCTTGGCTTGGCAGAGAATCTCAACAGGACAGAGTAGCCAGGATTGCCTGACCAAACCCTTGAATCTGGCACTACTGTCAGAACCTGGGCCAGCCCCGGTGCCCACTGCCGGGCAGACAGTCCCTCCCTTCCTAGCCCTGTTCTTGGCAATGAGCTGGGCAGCGCCAGGGGGCAGTGCCGCCAGAGCAGCCCTGGGGCTGACA